AATTACCGGTACAAAAAAGTGTGCGTTCGTTTTTTGAAGCCAGAACAACCGTTACCATAGTATGACGAACCATTGATCTCGGCACTTATACCAGCCAAACAGTACAAATGTCTTTGAGCACAAATATTTTTGATATGTCATAAAACAACCATGCAATGAAAACGTGCGTTCTGTATAGCTGATTCTACGTTCTATCATTCTTTTGATGTTAAATTGTACTAATTTTTTTGATGAAAAATAAATTTTACTAGGTATATACACAGCTGGTTTCTTATCACATCATGTAAATTGATAATCCTGTAGAAGGATTTTCATATGCTTTAGTAATTTTTCTTTGTATAAGTGCAACAAAAATGAAGTTTCTGCTAATATCGACTATAGCCATTTTAAACTGCCTCGCATTCAGTCTTGGTCAAAAAAATGCGACAACATGTCATACAACATCATGGTGGGTGTTATTACCAATGAAAAAAGTCTATTTGGATAATTACTTGAAAGCCTCTAATATTCCATTGACATACAACACATCTCAATTACCATTTTCATCTGAACTTAAACCGGATGAACATGTTGTGTATTTGGAGTTTAATAAACAAAATGACTGTACAACGATGTCATCATCTTTCCTCTCTAGCATAATATCATTAACATTTGTTGAATTCAAAGTGCAAATACCTTATCTCGTTCGAAAGGATAAAAATGTGATGTTTAAACCACTTATTTATGAAAGTAATTTTATTGATACAAGTGCCACGAAGCTCGTCTACGGCCTCCCAGCTTATACAGTAAGTAATAAAAAATTTATCTTTCAATTGTCTTCTTCTTTGTTTAATTATAGGCAGATATGGCATATGATGGAAGTGGTGGAAGCTACAATATTTCTTTCTCAAACGGTAAACTATTGGCAACATTTAAACCTTTGACGTCCAACTTTTCCATATACGGTTCGCCAGAAACGAAAAATTTTTCTTCATTCGTCGATTCTAACTCGTTTCCGTGGCTTTGTAATCCCCCACTGTCTACATCTAATCCGAAATGTGCAACCGATACATATACATTTTCACAAACAAAAGTAAGACCAGTATCGATGGTATTACTCGTGGAAAATGGAATATTAAATGCAATCCCTGATGGAAAATATACAAATGATGGCGATCGATTATTAGGTGCGTGGCAATTGGACACGACTTTAATCATCACCTCACCTTACACTTGTCCATAATTATTAATTCATGGTTTAAAGTGACCAATTTAAATATAGATAATAAGATGAAGAGCAGCTTTTTCATTTTGAAAAATACACATGTTTTCTTGAGACGTTTCATCTTTATTCACATATACGTAGTTTCTTTTCTACTATATCCTGAATGTAGCCATTTCACTGATGATGTCTGTTAAATAAAGACGAAAAGTCTTAACAAAATATGTGTATTTACAAAATCAAAAAGGTGGTCTTCGTCTTATTATCTATATTTGTGCATAATTTCTTCTACGTTGCTTACTTTTTTCTTTAAACATATGAATAAAAAGGAGAATCTTTCACAGTTAGCGTATTTTTCTGTCACTAATCGAACTTTTTATTTTGAGAAAACATGCCGTTCTGGTTCTTCTCATGTTCTTGTTATATCAAACTGCAGCATAAACAATCAATAGCATCAACTATCAAGTTCAC